GGAATCACGGAAAGATATTCATCCTTCAAGGTTTCGAATTCAGCTTTCATACGCTGGTGCGTGAAAGGGGAATCACGGAAAGATATTCATCCTTCAAGGTTTCGAATTCAACTTTCATACGCTGGTGCATGAAATCGAAATCACGGAAAGATATTCATCCTTCAAGGTTTCGAATTCAGCTTTCATACGCTGGTGCGTGAAATTCTCACGAAAAGATATTCATCCTTCAAGGTTTCGAATTCAGTTTTCATACGCTGGTGCGTGAAATTTTTGTCTGGTCTTCTTTATACTGAACTATTTTTGCATAGACTAAAGTACAAAGCAGTGAAAATCATTAACAGGCAATCGTTTGATGGACTGAATTGCACAAAACGCATGATCGCACCGGCTAGCCTGGTGCGCGTTGCCATTTATTTTGCGATTGTAACAGCTCCCCTCGTGGGCCACATTCGAGCAGTAAATGAGACATTCCACGAAGAAAGGAATTGAGGCTAAAAGTCTGTTTATGGGAAACAAAAGCTAGTAACAGGTGCCGACTTGCGCAAAGCTGGCTTGAAGGCTTGTGGATGTAATTTTAAAAAACTTCGTTGTGTTGTCTTGTGTGATCAGGAATTAAACCGACGCCGTAGTCATTGATTGAGGGCAAAAAGTAGAAAGTCTGCCAGTTATTTGCTATGCTAACAGCAAATTGTGAGATTAATTATTCGAGATTGGAACTTTTGGTGCGGGGAACACCTTGGATGACCTCCAAGAACTGTTATTCCTATATAACGGATGTTGGATTACAAAGGGTGAAAATGGATGGTTATGGAGGAACGGGCTCTTGGCCGCATATCGTAAATATTGGAACTGTGTGCTGGTAGTTAGATGGTCTTTGTGACTTCAACATTTGATCCACTAAACAGGTTTCTTTACCTGTGGATCATTTTAAGGTTTGGCAGCATATTGATTCGTGCCCAGGCCAACCAGTGGGTGTTAGAGTGCGCTTCGACAGTGGTATCACCGGCTTTATTCCAAATAAATATTTGTCCGATCGGCCTGATTCGTTTGTGGATCCGGGCGAAAGAGTTCGGGTATGTCTTTTAGCATATATTTTTACAGCACTGGAACTTGGCAAAGCTAGCTGTGATCTGTATTTCTGTAACACTTTCTGATAAGAACGATTTTGATGGCGGCCGCAGTAACTGTAGGAACTATGTAATTGCTGTCCGTGGAGGAAGCGCAGTAGCAATAAACCTGTGTAATAACAACATCAGATTTCCAGCGTAATCAGCCTGTTTACTGCCGAATATTGGAATTGGATCCGGACAAATTTTCGGCAACGTGTTCGTGCCGTTCTTCTGATCTCAGAGGTCTTCAGCCACAAAACAGCGAATATGATCGATATTTTGACAGGCAAGCGTGTCAGGTAACTGGTGTTTCAAGCTTGCGAAAAATATACGTTTTTCCATTTTTTGATATTGTTGCTTTGCTTACTGAGATGCACTTGTTTTACAGGAGGACGATGAAAAGGCCAGAAAATTAAA